TTTCACCTGATTTCATACATCAATAAAATCCTCTGAGCAGATGTGAAATGCCATTGCAGCCCCACAGACAGAAGATTTGATTTCTGTAATGAAAATGAAATACCACTGTGTCAAATGTATCACTTTTTAATAACAACAAATCTACAAACACGTCTGTACATTGCCTGGGGGAAAAAATCCTCAAGCCAAAGAATTTTTAATTAAATAATAAAGATGATAAATATGACAGCCGGCTGCCGGTGGTGAGTGATGAAAGCAGACAGAGAGAACCTGGATCGAAGGGAAGATCTGAACAGAGTCCAGCACTAAGCCCGTCTGTGGATTTCTGCCCTGATGTGAATAACAGAGCGAGAGAAAAAAATCACTGTGCCTTAACTTTTCTGCTCAAAGAAACCAAAGACAGACAGATTTATAGTTAGATTTACCGAGCTGCTCATCAGAATAGCAGACATCGCAAAACCAGTCGTTAAAAGTCAACACATTTATTTATTTTGAAGCATTATTTAGATTTAGCATAATCTAAATGATCAACAACATATAAAAGGTGCATGCATAGAATCACCAGTAACAAAACTGTGAAAAAGTTTAAAAACTTTGCATCAAAAACACTTTTTTCCTCCTAAATTCTGCTTCTGCTGCCATCTTTTCTCTTACTGATTTCAGTTCAGGACTCTTTGAGCACTGCGTCTCTCTCTTATAACGTCTCTGACTGATCTTGGTTGGTTTTCCTTCTTTTGTGATCGTTTCACCCTCTGATTAGTTTCACCTGTGTTGTCCTCAACACCTGTTTCCAGCCAGTCAGCCTCCCCAGCTACTGGAGGTTTTTGTTATTCTTATATTCAAATGTCCGAGCATCCCTTGTGTTTATAGCTATTCCTTTTGACTTTAAACAAGAGCCACATACTGATATCACATTATATCGTATCATATCATATATTTTCACATTAACCCTTTAAGACCTAGAATAGAACCAAGTCCGCCAAAGCTTATATTATACTTTTACATGCTGTGGAGCCATTTTTGGGAGCATGTCAAGTTGCTATACATCAATACAACCATTATAGCCCAAATTTTAATAATATGTATGCATTAAGTGCATAGTAATTACATAAATTGCAAAAAAGTGCAATAAACTACAAAAAAATTGAAAATCCTTTTTGTTTTTTTAACATATATTCTAGTTAGAGAAATTTAAGAGGCTTATCCCTCAAAACTGTAAATACAAAAAAGTTGCACAAAATAGTTTCCCACCACAGGAAATTTATTTTGAGTGTCTTCATAGTTTTATTTTTGAAATACACCAATTTTTATACACTGCAGGAAAAACGAAAATAAATATTATAATGCAAATTTGCAAAAAAGCAGCATATGCATCAAAATAAACTATTTCCAGCAGTGCAATATGAGTCCTAAGCATCCCAGAAACGACACAGAAAGTCATAAAGTCAAAGATAACTTTTAAAAACACCAGTATAGGCTCATGAGGCCCTGATGGTAAAAAAAAAACTACATTTCCGTGAAAATGACATCACTTCCGGTTTTGGGCAGGTCATAGCAGACATGCGATAGTTCGCGCTGACGTCTATTCCAATGTAGGAAGTGTTATGAACAGCTGATCAGATCGGCAAAGCGTGTTTCTGGAATATTATGTTTTTGTTGCTGCAAGTGGTTTTTATGCAGTTTTTGCAAAGCTATATGTGGAAGGAAACTGTGACCGAGGACAAGCTGATGGTATAAGATGTAAGTACAACTCCTCTGGTTTCATATGCAAAAGAAATTATTGCGCTAGCTTACGTGGTTGCAGTGCTACCAGGATTTAAATGTAGTTGCGCAAAACAGAGCGTGCCCGCTCCGACCCGCCTTAAAGGATTAAATCCTCCAAATGTCTTAACATGAGAAAAGGAAATTTAATTTCAGCAGTATGTCACATTTTTTCTGCATGATGAAGAAATGCTGCTGCGGGATATGAAAGACATCTGTCAGCACGGCACGTGCCAATTCTGGCCCCCAGGCCTTATATTTGACACACCTGCTCCAGCTCAGCGCCCCAGCTAGAGTTGACTTTTGTTTTAGCTGGACGCTAGACAAGCATACGTTCAGAAACGAGAAAGTGTTACCTTCCTACATTCAGTTTTGCATTACATTGTTCTTGTTAAAGGCTTTTCATGCTGGCTGGATATCGGTGTAAGCCAGAGTTTAAGTGAAAAGTTTCAAATTTCCTTTAATATTTACTGTAAATGCACAAATTAAGAGAAACACTGAAGCCTCTCCAAGTTAACGTTTGAAAAGGATTTAACCACTAAAACACCCGAATACACACACTGACTCATTAGGGCTAATTATTGGACCTGAAGGTGACTTCTTCCTTGCAAATGAGTGGGGACCAAAATGAATAAAGCTAGATTTTAAAAAGAAGAAGTCCAATTTCAAGAACTGAGGTCACAGAAAAGTTTCAAAGGGATAAAAAAAAAAAGTTATATTATCGTGTATCAATCAGGCTCAGTCAGTCAGGCATATATAGTCATGTAAGATAAGATAAAAAGGTGGAAAGTTAAAGATAACGTGCCAAAAATATTTTAAGGTGACTGATAAGTAATTTAGTGAAGTTTTTATACCTGTCCACAGAAGAGGAACTCATTATATTAAAAGAAAAAAAAAGGTTTTGCAGAACTCTGCAACAAACAAAACCAAGTACAACTTGTGATTGAATACTTTCAGAACTAACTTTAACAGCAATAACTTAAAGTAATAGTTTCCTGTATGACCTGATGCAGGTCGATGGACACTTGGATGAGCTGTGACTGAAAGGCTTTTGTTTTGTTTCAGTTCATTGAGGTTTGAAGAGCTTTAGCTCTCAGACAGCTGCAGTCTCGTTTGAATCCTTTGGTATACAGAGGAGTTCACGATCGACTCAATGTCTGGAAGACACCCAGCCCTGTGGCTGCAGAACAAGCCCAACTCATCAGCCCTCCATGCCTGTGCTGACAGTCAGTATGGGGTGTTTGTGCTGATGTGCTGTGTTTGGTTTTCTCCAGACGTGGTTGATCCTTGACAAACATCGCCATTTTGGTCTCATCTGTCCAAAGGACATCGTTCCAGAAGTGTTGCGGTTTGTCCAGATACAGTTCGAAGCTATTCTGCATTATTCTTTTCACAGAGAACAGCTTTCTCTCTGCAGACCTTCCAAATAAGCCACACTTGTTCGGTTTTCTTCTAATTATGTCATGAAACATTTTGAGGCCTGTAGTCTTTTTGAGCGTTGCAGTTTGACCTTGGGATGAACTTGCTGGGACGTTCAGTAACAGTTTAGATTCTTTTTATCATGAAAAAAAGCAAGAAACTACAAAACATTTAGCATCTTGTCAGGTGGGAATATTTGATGGTTTTGTATCATTAAACTCCAGCTATCAGTCAGTTTTGCATGGAAGCCCGTTTCTGCCACAAAAAACAAAAAACAAGTATCCATAACTCGAGATTTCAAGTTATTTTCTTGAAATTTTGACTTATTAACTCAAAATTTGGAGAAATGGAATTTGAAATTTGGAGAAACATACGAGTTATCTCTGTCAATTAGTAATCTACGTGAATGAGGTCACTTTCTTGTTACCCGGAAGCATATGGCGCAGTACGGAGCCCCGCAGGGGACATGGGAGGGAAAAAAAATTAAGACGGACTTTTGGGAGATCTCGCAAAACTTTTGCAAGATCTCGCAAAAGTTGAATTCCAACAATGGCGGCAGCTACTTAGTTGTAATATTACTCTTTCTGGGTCACAAAATACACTTTTAAGATATTTTGAGGCGTGAATGTAGTTGTGTAAACGTCAGCTACCTGCTCGGTTAACAAGACATCACATATTTGCAAAAGTGCTCAGACGTTTTCGGAGATCTGATACCCACTAGCTCAAAGCTAACGGAAGGTCGAGACCTACTACAGCCGGGAGGAACACCGCTTTCCCGGCACATCGTGCCTCGACCTCCCGGTCGGCTTCGAGCTGGCGGCCTCCGAAGAATGCGGCTAAAACCTTTGCGAGATCCCGAGTTTGTTTTGCAAGATCTCGCAAAAGTCCGTCTTAATTTTTTTTTTCTCCCACGTCCCCTGCGGGGCTCCGTAGCGCAGAGTAACGCGCACTCAAAACCGCATCGCAACAAATTGGCGCTTTCGCGAGTACATTTGCTGATAGTAACGCCATGTGACTCCGCTAATAACACAAGGAGTTCATCATTTTTGAAGCCACACTGAAAATACTCAGCAATCTGTGCATTCATGACTGGATGTAAAACCGGTAGCTTAGCTGTAGCATTTGTACCTGGGGGCTAACAAGGAAATGACGTCATTCACATAGATTACTGATTGGCTGCCCTAACGTTTCTCAAAATTTTGAGTTAATAAGTCAAAATTTTGAGAAAATAAGTCGGAATTTCGAGTTATGGATTTTTTTTTAGTGGCGGAAACAAGCTTCCAAAGTTTTGGTCTCCTCTAAAATACATGGTTAGCAAAAGGTCAGCACCTATTATGACAGATGCCATCAGAAACAACACTGCATTATCCTGCTGTTATATCTGTCCTTGTTTAATGCTGATGAACTAGATTATTATTTAGGTTGAAGTAATTACCGGTCTGTTATTGAGGTTTATCCTAATACAGGCTTTTAAAGATGCCCTCTGTTTCACGCATTGATTAAAAAAAAATGAAAAACTGAGATTAATAATCTAATAATTAATAATCACAATCCGAGCAGGGACTTTGACCTCCCGATTAAAGGTCCACGAAGGGTCCAGATTGGTATCAGAGTAGTGCAGATGGGTCGCTGTTCCACTGGAGATCAGCAGAGGGAAACGTAGCTCTCTTTCCTGCGCTCCTCCTCAGACAATAAAAACAAGGCGAAGCCCACTCAGTCGGCAGCATCTCGGCTCCATTCAAAGACGTCTGAAGGGGGGAAAAAAATCAGAAATATGGACACACGGCCGCCGGTCTGGGACTAGAGATGTAGCTGCAAGGATGCCAGCCAACTGCATCTCCCGTTTGCTCCTCTTCGTGTCGGTGTGCGCGGTCTGGGAGGCGCTGGCCAAATCTCTTCCAGATCAGGGAGCACTGGGTAAGCTCGCCATACGGGGATGCGGCACAATGAGGAGATGGGAGTGGTTGCATTTTTACTGCTTTTGTCGACAATCAGTCGATGTGTGCAGCGATGCGCCCTGATTTTATGGCAACCTGAAAGATATTGACGGTTAATTACAAGCGAGGCTTTTTGCCGTGCTTGCCCCGGGATAGCGTCGTCTTTTCGGGGTATAGATTCTTTAATATCTGCGAGTTGCTTTGACAGAGAGGCCACGCTGGTGGCCGTGAGCTGGTTATGTCCCCGTGCTGTGCAGATGTGAGAGATTCAGATGTGAGTGCAGGCCTGAGTCTGTTGTTCCTGTGCAGTGTCAGGCCCAACTAAGCCGGGCCTTCATGTGTGTCATTGTTGCTTTGCACAGTGAGTAACAGTGAGAGCAGGAGGGCCTGCGGGCTTGGAAATGTGTCAGTCCCCGAGCCAACATTTTAGATTTCTTCACTCCAAAATCAATTTCCCTGCACGAGAAAACCCCCCCCCCGCTATTGTTCCGTTAAATAATGCTTCAGCAGAGGCCTTAACACACTCCGTGTTTATATTATTGTGGTGCATGTTTAAGCACATTATGTAATTACGTTGCATTATGCATGCCTGCAGCTATTTTTGACATGCATGAATGGTCACAGGCACAGAGAGTGGAAGAATGTAACTGAGTATACAGCATTTGAGTTACTTGCACTTGCAGTGCTTTCCTGTTGTGACCTTCTCCGTTTACAGCTCCACACCGTAGAAGGAAATGTTCTTCTTTTTAATCATCGTCCTTATTTGTAGAGTCTCAAAAGCAAGCTAATAATAAACTGGAACTACAGAGGTCCTGTATCTTTTATTATGTGCAGTGAAAAGTGGATTTTTGTGGATAATTCTTCACTTTAGTTTTCATATTGTCACTTTTACTTTTAGAAAAAGGTTCTGAATGCTGCTTCCACCTCTCCTTTAAGAAATGTTTTGTCTGTTAAACTAACTTTTTAACATAGATTTTGCACCTTTGCCTCGAGGGAGGAAATTGTCATTTAATTGATGCGTCAGGCTTGTTTCGGGAACAGCTCAGCAGTTCTCCTGACCTGCAAGCTTTTGCACAGTGCTACAAATCTATTCCTGTATTTAGAAATGTCAGATTGCTGACACATTCGGGCCTAAGTTGTGCCGCTTTATGTACTTACTGCTCGGTTACAGCCCTGGCTGTTGTTCTTTGGGTCAGCTACTGTTATGACACACCTGAGATCAGGCCCTTGCACTGTGGTCCTGTGACTGAGTTGGAGCAGCCAGATTCACCCTGAGCCAACATTGTTGGTCGAAGACAAATGTGGCCCATGAGAAAACTGCACATGTGGCTGAAAGCAAGTCCAAACATGTGTTAGTTAAAAAAAACACATTTTTTAAATCATTTTTTTACCCAGTAAGACCAAATATTGGCTCAGTCGTGTCCTTTTTATGATGTTACACTGAATTCCTGTGAACATTTCACTCTTTTCTAACAGTTGGTCATTTAATTGACAAAGCCTGAGTTATCTGAGGCCAAACATTACTTATAAGTAAACTCCAGATGTGAAATACATTGTTTGCTATCTGGGTTGGTGGAGATGTTGCTTGTTTTGGAAGAAAATAGATTAAATCAAAACAAGCTTACACCAAAGCAGATTTTTCTTTGCATCCATATTGAGTCAGGTTTGCTCCTTTTTGCATATGACTTTAAAACAAAAACTCAGAGATAACAGAAGCAGCGCAGGGATGATAAACACAATCGGAGCCTTTAAATAATCTTCCTGTAAAACATATAATGGGTTCAAAAACAATGACACTTTGACATTTCAGTCCCTAAAGAAGAGTTTATGGCGATTATATTAAAAGAAAAGCACAAACTGCCTTCGATTTTGACAACCGTTCGGTGAATTTAAGTTGTTTTGAGATGCGTCCACTGAATCACTTCTGAAGGACACTGAGGGAGTGAAAAATTCCCACTGTGTCTCACTGTGACTCTCAGTGTTTGTGTCAATGGAGCTGCTTCAAGCCTTCAAGTGAGGAGCCCAGATTGAGGAAATCCTCTCTACACACACAAACCCACACAAAGGAGCCTTTATTGGACAATTTATGTTAATGGATGGCAGCATTTATGCATGCACCGTGGATCTGGACACACAAACACCCACACACAAACATACTGCTTATTATCTGAATGCAGCCATTAGCTGCCGTCTCTGGAAGAGTTGTGCATCGAGGGGTTTGTCGCTGGAGGCCTGCGCGGTTTTAGCTCGCAGTCCTTCAGGGACTGAAACACAACGAGCCAGCTTTTTGGAGTGTCAGCTTGTATCCATGGGAACATCCCCAGCGTGACCCACATCTACGTCGTCCAAGAGACGAGATGAGAAAATGTTCCTGAGCTGACAAGAATGATGAGGGGATGAGGGGCGGAAATAGCCACGCAACGGATTTGTGACGGGTGCGGCTGTGATGACTACAAACATCATCATCAAACTAACAACAACAATCATCCCCCGCTGGAAGTGATTAGTCTGCAGCAGCAGCGCACACAGCTCACCGGTCAATACATGTAAAACTCTGAATGCATTCTTCATCAGTCACATCTGTTGACTCATAAACATGCTGTGGGGTCAACATAAGTTACACCTCCTGGTGATGTTATAGTCACCGATGCCCTTAAAGGAGACCTATTATGCTTTCCCTAATTTTCTGTCACGTAGATATATTGTTACTACGGTGGATGCACGATAGATCATGCTGCAGACTGACCTAAACATTCAGCTATAAGCTATTTTTTTCTGGTCTTGGATCTGTGTGATGTCAGTAAGAGGAGATACCACCCACCTGATGTTCAAACCTTCAGTTTACAAGGGTCAGCCAATCAGAAGAAAGCCGGCTTAAAGTGGGAGGAGCTAAAAGGCTTAGTAAAGGATAAATAAGATTATTTAGATTTTTGTTCCACTCACTGTGTGTTTATACACCACTCTGCTTTAATTATTACTTATCATTTATCTCTGGCTTTCTTCCACAGCGGTTCTTTGTCCTCCTCCACTCACCCCCGAGCCAGTCGTGGCAGATAACTTCCCTTAATGGCTATGCCAGAGTTTTCTTCCTGTTAGACGGGAGTTTTTCCTTCCCACTGTCGCCAAAGCACTTTCTCATCATTGCGGTTTTTGCTGTGTTATTTTATAACATACTTCAGAACATAAAGCACCCTGATTTTAGTTAAATAGAGTCATGCAAAAGAGATTTCATTGTTTTAAAAAAACAAAACTACCTTTTATATACATGAAAGTAAGTTATTACTGAGAATCACCATGACTTTTTTTCATCAGCACAAAAATATTATTGTCAGCTAAACATCCTGAATATCTATGAGTCGATATGAACTGTTAGATTTAACAGTGCTGTTTGCTAACTATAGACAAAAACACATGTTTTTAAATATTGGGCCATTTTGCTTCTATTATCTTTCTTTTTTGGAAAAATGAAGTTAAAATGTTTATTTAACCCAATTTTGTCACTTGTACGTATGTAATTTAATACTTACTTAATAGGAATATATTTGCATATTTAAACATAAACTTTCTGAACACTTAATTACTTTAATTTGAACTTATTTAATGTAAGTAATTAACTGAGGAAATTTAACATTACTATTTTTAAACAGAACTTTTCAGAAAACTTTTAATACAAAAACCATCTCTGTTAATGTAATTAAACCTAAAGCCTGATTATCTCCTCAGGCAATTCTAATTATTATAGTAAATAAAACACAAAGTGTATTTAATGTTTTTATTTCACCTGTTGGGGCACATGCTGTGTTTCATGCTAATTATGCGGCCTTCGCTCCGTGTAGGTCATTT